ATTTATAGAGCTCCCTCTAGTGGTTACCCATATGGAAGAAAAATATATTTGAAATATATTTGAAAAATATTCTTATTGACATATATTTGAAATGCTACCATTTTGGCCGTATTCAATATATTAAAAAATATATTGCAATCAATATATATATATATATATATATATTTGAGTACTGACATGATACTTTTATGGCTACAATCACCTCAAGCTGTGTATATATATATATATATATATATATATACATACATTTGAAATACTACCATTTCAGCCATATATATATATATATATATATATATATATATATATATATATATATATATATACACATACATACTGTATGTTGAAATGCGTTTTTATTACAAAATTTATGAAAAATATTTTTAAGAATACAAATCTACATTTTTGGAATGCATTTACAAATATATGTAAAAATGTATCTTAAAACGACTTTTTTATATGTTAAAGAACATCTGAAGAAAATATTTTCAAAAATATATTTTTAAAAATAATTTTCATATATTTTGTAATAAAAAGGCATTTCAACATGCAGTATGTGTATATATATTTTATTTATTATTTCAGGTGCTTATATAGCACCATCAATTTACACAGTGCTTTACATACATATATATGTACATTCACATCAGTCCCTAACCCTCAAGGGGTGTACAGTCTAAGGTCCCTAACCCTCAAGGGGTGTACAATCTAAGGTCCCTAACCCTCAAGGGGTGTACAGTCTAAGGTCCCTAACCCTCAAGGGGTGTACAATCTAAGGTCCCTAACCCTCAAGGGGTGTACCATCTAAGGTCCCTGACCCTCAAGGAACATACAATCTAAGGTCCCTAACCCCCAAGGGGTGTACAATCTAAGGTCCCTAACCCTCAAGGGGTGTACAATCTAAGGTCCCTAACCCTCAAGAGGCATACAATCTAAGGTCCCTAACCCTCAAGGAACATACAATCTAAGGTCCCTAACCCTCAAGGAACATACAATCTAAGGTCCCTAACCCTCAAGGAACATACAATCTAAGGTCCCTAACTCACATTCATACATACACATACTAGGGCCAATTTAGACAGGATCCAAGGAACCTACCAGCATGTCTATATATATATATACTGCATGTTGAAATGCGTTTTTTATATATTACAAAATATATGAAAAATACTTTTAAAAATATATTTTTTTTAAATATATTCTTCAGATTTTTTTAACAAACCAAAAATTCATTTTAACATATATTTGTAAATGCATTCCAGAAATGTAGATTTGTATTTTTAAAAAATATTTTTCTTATATTTTGTAATAAAAACGCATTTCAACATACAGTATGTGTGTGTGTGTATGTGCGTATATATGTGTGTGTGTGTGTGTATATATATATACAGTATATATATATATATATATATATATATATATATATATATATATATATAAAAATATATTTTGAAATATATTGAATATGGCCAAAATGGTAGTATTTCAAATATATGTAAAAATATGTTAAAATTACTTTTTTATATGTTAAAAAAATATCAGAAGAATATATTTAAAAAAAAAATATTTGTAAAAATATTTTTCATATATATTGTAATATATAAAAAAACGCATGTCAACATGCAGTGTGTATATATATATATATATATATATATATATATATATATATATATATATATATATATATATATATATATATTTTTTTTTTTTTTTGGGCAGCACAGTGGCTAAATGGTTAGCACTTCCGCCTGGCAGTACTAGAGTTGTCGGTTTGAATCCCAACCATGGCACCACCTGCCTGGAGTTTGCATGATCTCTCTGTGCCTGCGTGGGTTTCCTCTGGGTACTTCAGTTTCCTCCCACACTCCAAAGACATGCTGGTAGGTGAATTGGCTCCTGTCTAAATTGTCCCTAGTATGTGTATGTATGAATGTGAGTTAGGGACCTTCGATTGTACGCCCCTTGAGGGTTAGGGACCTTAGATTGTACGCCCCTTGAGGGTCAGGGACTGATGTGAATGTACAATATATATGTAAAACGCTTCGTACATTGACGGCGCTATATAAGTACCTGAAATAAATAAATAAAATAAATACATTTATTGAAATATATTGAATATGGCCAAAATGGTAGTATTTCAAATATATGGAAAAATCTGTGTTAAAATGACTTTTTTATATGTGAAAAAAATCAGAAGAATATATTTAAAAATATATATATTTTTAAAAATATTTTTCATATATATTGTAATATATAAAAAAACCTCATGTCAACATGCAGTGTATGTATATGTGTGTGTGTATATATATATATATTGAATACGGCCAAAATGGTAGTATTTCAAATATATGGCAATATATTTGGGAAGAATATTTTTTGTATTTCAATGGTTTTTATTAATTTATACCAGTTTAAAACAGGAGCAACAATTCACGCCCACGCAGGGGCTATCAATGGCACATAAAAAAATTAGAAAATTAGAAAAATCAGTGCTCTTAACACCAACAGCCCACTCAGGGGCTATCAATGGCACTTATTTATTTATTTCAGGTACTTATATAGCGCCGTCAATTTACGCAGCACTTTACATATATATTGTACATTCACATCAGTCCCTAACCCTCAAGGGGCGTACAATCTAAGGTCCCTAACCCTCAAGGGGCGTACAATCTAAGGTCCCTGACCCACAAGGAGCGTACAATCTAAGGTCCCTGACCCACAAGGAGCGTACAATCTAAGGTCCCTAACCCTCAAAGGGCGTACAATCTGAGGTCCCTAACCCTCAAAGGGCGTACAATCTAAGGCCCCTAACCCTCAAAGGGCGTACAATCTGAGGTCCCTAACCCTCAAAGGGAGTACAATCTAAGGTCCCTGACCCCCAAGGGGTGTACAATCTAAGGTCCCTAACCCTCAAGGGGCATACAATCTAAGGTCCCTAACCCTCAAGGAGCATACAATCTAAGGTCCCTAACCCTCAAGGAACATACAATCTAAGGTCCCTAACCCTCAAGGGGCGTACAATCTAAGGTCCCTAACCCTCAAGGAACATACAATCTAAGGTCCCTAACCCTCAAGGGGAGTACAATCTAAGGTCCCTAACCCTCAAGGGGCGTACAATCTAAGGTCCCTAACCCTCAAGGGGCGTACAATGTAAGATCCCTAACCTTCAAGGGGCGTACAATCTAAGGTCCCTAACCCTCAAGGGGCGTACAATCTAAGGTCCCTAACCCTCAAGGGGCGTACAATGTAAGATCCCTAACTTTCAAGGGGTGTACAATCTAAGGTCCCTAACCCTCAAGGGGAGTACAATCTAAGGTTCCTAACCCTCAAGGGGCATACAATCTAAGGTCCCTAACCCTCAAGCGGTGTACAATCTAAGGTCCCTGACCCTCAAGGAGCGTACAATCTAAGGTCCCTAACGTACATTCATACATACACATAATAGGGCCAATTTAGACCAGAGCCAATCAACCTACCAGCATGTCTTTGGAGTGTGGGAGGAAACCGGAGTACCCGGAGGAAACCCACGCAGGCACAGGGAGAACATGCAAACTCCAGGCAGGAGGTGCCGTGGCTGGGATTCGAACCAACGACCCGAGTACTGCCAGGCGGAAGTGCTAACCATTTAGCCACTATTAAATAACAAAACATTAGTATAACACTGATAGTAACTCAAACTAAAGGCAGCTATCCACCGCCACACAAAGAAAAGGAAGGAGAAGTACAAAAGAAAAAAGATAACAAAACCAAGAGCAGGGGTCCGAGAAGGCCAATGCCGAACAACATCCCGTCCCCAGACTAGCCGGGGGGAGCGTGGGAAAGACATATTACAACCACGGCTCCCATATTTTCAAGACTTTACGTTGGGAGTCGTTGCAGATACTCGACATCTGTCCATGGAGCATCATAGTGGTCATACGGTCCCGCACCCCCTGAAGAGGGACAAACGGGCTCTTCCAGGCCTGAGGAATTGTGGCCGACAAAAACAAAGGGAAGAATATTTTTAAACTATATTTCAAATATATTTTTCTTCCATGTGGGTTTGTTTGAATATTTCTATCATTACTGGTATTATCGTTACTAATATTAACCCCATCCTGCCTGCCCTGGAGGTTCTGAGTACCCGGGAAGGAAAAATAGTTGATCATGTGACCACTGTGATTGGCTGCCACTGTGGTCACATGATCGAGAGCCTCTTCGGCTACTGATCCGTTAGTGGGGATTGAGAGCTGTCTTTTGGGAGTGCCCAGAAATATCAGCCGCCCATGACGCCTATGTGCGGCATGTGGGCGGTAATATATGTGTTACATGGGCAGCAACAGGTTTATTTTTCTGTTTCAGGTGCCACGTTATGCACTGACATCAGTTCTCTCCGGACGGTATGGTCACCTGCTGACTTGCCAATATCCACAGGCAGTTGAACTCTTCAGTAAACTGAAGAGTTCAAATAATTGCAGTACAGAGGATGTCTTTTCTTCTTTTTTTTTTTTTTCCAGTCATTTTAAGTGTATAATGACCATAACTTTCCTATACCCAAAAACTAGACTGAGAGAACATGGAAGAAACGGGGAAAATGTAGCTGAGACTGAACGAACTAGCACTGAACAGAAAAGGGGAGGACGGAGGGGTAGTAAGTAAATGAGCTGTGGTGGCCCTAAACCACCACTAGGTGCTCAATGCAAAAATAAATTAAAATAAAATAAATGATAAAAAAATAAAATAAAATACAAAAAAAAAAAAAATATATATATATACACTAGGTGTTAGCATACAACAGAACAATAGTAACCTGATGCAGCTCAATGCAAAAATAATAAAAAAAAAAATGTGTGTGTGTGTAAGTATGTATGTAAGTATGCATATGTGTGTGTATATATATATATATATATATATATATATGGGCGGGCCAAAAAATATATATGGAGGGAGAATTTACAAATTCGAAAGTTGATTGTGACTTTGGAAAATAATCTGTGAGTTGTTGTTTTTATCTTCCAATCCAGTTGCACATCGTCCATTACAATGCTGACCAATTCATCGATATTAATGAAGCCAAAAACAAGCCAAATGGATTGGCGGTTCTCGGGATCCTAATCACGGTGAGCAACGCGTTTCGTTTCCTGATACTTTCTAAGTTTCCTGTTTTTGGATTTTCAGAAGCCCATTTCTTTTCATCTGTTTAGATCTAATTTTTTGCCTTCCATCCTCACTATACAGACCGGGTCCAGCCATAACCCAGGCTACGCCAACATCATCAACTATCTGGAGAGAGTCAGCTATGCAGGTAGGTAATCCTTAGTATGAGTTCACCGCACCCTGTGAGCTTCTCACAATGTGCATGAATAGTGTCAGCCAGTCAGATAGAGCTACGCCTCATTTCCCGGCTGGAGGATGTCCAGCATCATCTAGCGCTTTCCTCCCCAGTCAGACTGTCCCTGGGCCCACCCCTTTCATACATTGGGTTTTAGTTCTTTCTATCATGGAGACTTTGAATGTGGGCGGCAGGGGCGGACTGACCATTTGGAAACTTGGGCACGAGGGTCCGGGGTCAGTAAGGGGCCCCATGAGATGCCCCTGGTACCTTTTTCATAGGCTTTTTTGAGTTTGGGCAAGGACACAGGAACCCCATGATCTCCTATTGCCCGGGGGCCCCATGAGTTGTCAGTCCGCCCCTGGTGGGCGGTATCTATGCAAATTCAGCCTGCCTCCTCCAGACTGGCATCCACCCATCAAAGCATTTTTTGGTATTTTCATAACCTTTCCCACTGTTTGAAGAAGGGCTGAGGGCTCTTGTGTACTGAAGCAGGGTGCTATGATGCTTTCAGGGAGCTATGTACAACACCCTTCCGGCCCCTCCCATCAGTTATGATTTGCTTTCATTGCATAGACAAGCACAGGGACCCAGTGATGATGTCACTGGGTCTTAAATAAGATATGTGATGAAAACAGAGAGGTTATATTTAAAAATGTTATTAGCATGTGAAGAAGGGGGAAGGCACACAGGGTTGAAAGAGTACAAATGTCTTTGTATGCTGTAGAAATAATAGTACCTGCATTGGAAGTACCTGAACTCAGTCATTTGGAGGCGCTCCATATACTTGTGACCATACAGAGCAGGGTTCCTTAGCCAGGGTTCTAAGGAACACTGGGGTTCCTCCAGAGGTTGCTAGGGGTTCCTTGAGCCATGACCAACTTCTATTTCTCAGATAAATTCACACCGACACCATTGATGTTTTTAGCTATCTGTAAGGGGGAACTCTTCCCAATGACCTCAAGTATAAGGAACATTCTTCCCAATAATCTCAAGTATAAGGAACGTTCTTCCCAATGACCTCAAGTATAAGGAACGTTCTTCCCAATGACCTCAAGTATAAGGAACGTTCTTCCCAATGACCTCAAGTATAAGGAACATTCTTCCCAATGACCTCAAGTATAAGGAACATTCTTCCCAATGACCTCAAGTAGAAGGAACATTCTTCCCAATGACCTCAAGTAGAAGGAACATTCTTCCCAATGACCTCAAGTAGAAGGAACATTCTTCCCAATGACCTCAAGTAGAAGGAACATTCTTCCCAATGACCTCAAGTAGAAGGAACATTCTTCCCAATGACCTCAAGTAGAAGGAACGTTCTTCCCAATGACCTCAAGTAGAAGGAACGTTCTTCCCAATGACCTCAAGTAGAAGGAACGTTCTTCCCAATGACCTCAAATATAAGGAACTTTCTTCCAACTGACCATCACTCTGATGTACCATGAGATGTAGAAATTCTTCCCAATGACCTCAAGTAGAAGGAACGTTCTTCCCAATGACCTCAAGTAGAAGGAACGTTCTTCCCAATGACCTCAAATATAAGGAACTTTCTTCCAACTGACCATCACTCTGATGTATCATGAGATGTAGAAATAGTCATTTTTAGCAGGGGTTCCGAGACCAGAAACTTGTTTCAAGGGTTCCTCCATGTTTAAAAAATGTTGGAGAAAGTCTGATATAGAGTATGTGATGACCTCATATTGATGTTTTCTGCAGATCAGAGTGTCTCCATTCCATCTTTCAATGTGGAGGAGCTCCTGCCTAGCAAGCTTGATCAGTATTTCCGCTACAGTGGTTCCCTGACCACGCCGCCATGCTTCCAGAGTGTCACCTGGACTGTCTTCTACAACCCAGTCCAGATCTCACAGTCTCAGGTAAGTGGCTGCTGCACCCATGGAGTTCCACGTGAATAAATAAACTGTTATTTGTGCAAATGCAACATGCCACCTCTACCCAAGGTCAACCGGGTTGTTCACTGAGTTGCGACAAGTGATTAAAAAAAAAGTGAAAACAAGTATTTCATAAAAATTAAAACTCTTTTTTATACACAGTACTTTGGCAAACTACATTTAAAATCTGGTGATGGTTGCCATCATGCTATGTAGGAGCCACTTGTTAGCGTTTCACTTTATCTCACTTCTTTCTATAGATGGATAAACTGCGCAGGACACTTCATTCTACTCCAATCAGCCGTCCTCCGGAAGTCCTACAGAAAAACGTCCGGGACATTCAACCAGTGAACAAGAGAACAGTGTACTCCTCCTTTGTAATAGAGAAAGGTATGTTCCACCATAAAGGCACCATTACTCCATGCCCCATCTGCCCTCTATGCTTCTCTCATGCCCTTGGTTCATTGTCCATAATAGTTCATGAATGGTGGAGCTCACATACCTAGAATTCTGCTCATGGGTAAAGCAACTGAGGTAGCTGGCTTAGCCCAAAAGACCACAGCCAAGACTGGCTCGCCAAAATCTGAGGCCTAAACTTGACTAGCTCACCAAAATCTGAGGCCTAAACTTGACTAGCTCGCCAAATTCTGAGACCTAAACTTGACTAGCTTGCCAAATTCTGAGGCCAAAACTTGACTAGGTCGCCAAATTCTGAGGCCAAAACTTGACTAGCTTGCCAAATTCTGAGGCCAAAACTTGACTAGCTCGCCAAATTCTGAGGCCTAAACTTGACTAGCTCAGCGAAATCAGAGGCCTAAACTCACACAATTTTCAGAGGTGGACTATAGTAATGCCACTTTTACTGAAGTCCATTGTATTCCAACCATAGCTGTGGGCCCCATTAGTATTCTCTAAACTGGAAACCATATGTAATCATGGACCAGTGGCTGAGCATCTTAAGTTGTACAAAAGTGCATCAGCAGTGTGAAAGGGCCCTTAGAGAACCCCAAAACTATGGTTGGAGATACTAATAAACAGGAGGAAGGACTAATATCAATGTGGTTCAGGTCTAGACCTAAGTGTACTTACTGGGCCTTTTAAATCTTGTAGGCTTTAGTCAGGCAGGTTCTTCAAATCAGCAACTAAAATAATTACAGCATTTGTTATTCTTAACTACCTCAACATGTGGTAATAAAGCCCAAACATATTTCGTGTTGGTATGAAACATGTTTGGGCTCACAGCTGAAGACCGTCCAATGAATGTTGAGTAGGCGGTTTAATCCCAGTAACTGGTGGTAGTTCGTCTGGTACATAGTTAGCCTCACGATTCGCAAGCTGAACTCTCAAGTAGGTGATCTTGCTTGCTTTAGCAATGGCCAGCGGTGGAAGGTACCAAATTATGTTGGCTTACCTTTACATTTTCAAGAATAAAAACTGCTACCTGGAAGATGGTGGAGTAAATGCGTGGAACACATTTTTATGGGTAATAGTTGTACTTGGACACCGCAAAGGGTAGAATGTTAGTACAAGACTGACCAACAACTGGAAAAACTTGGGGTGGTCTATCTAAAGCAGCCCTCAGTATTCCTTTGCCATCCCTGTGTCGGGTTCCTGGGTCTGCACATCTGCTGTACCCATTATGAGGGGTTCCCACCATTCTTGTGCTGCATTCCCAGCTCCGCACACCTGCTGGACCCATTATGAGGCGTTTCAACCATCCTTGTGCTGAGTTCCTTGGTCTGCACACTGGCCCCCCTTATACCAGGCTGTATTTTATTTCTGCTTGAGTGTCAGTGGAAGGATTGGGAGAGAGGGGTGGAGGACACTGAGTGGAGGCCAGTGGAGGGATTGGCAGAGAGGGGTGGAGGACACTGAGTGGAGGCATGTAATGTAATAGCAGAAATTGTAACAAAGGTGGGCGATAACACCCAAAAACTCCCAGGTGAACAGAGAAACAGAGGGATCTCAATGGTGGGGCACCCAAGACATATAAGAAGCCAGGGTCTGACTCCCCCTGCCCGGCCCCACCCTTACCTAAAATATCATATGAGGTGGACTAACCCTTTAAGATTTCATTCTCCAACTTTTTCATGGCTCACTATGTCCACCATAACCTCCATGCTTTTTTTGTTGATTAATGTTTTTGGATTTTCCTTGTCACGTGTCCACAGCTTAATCCCTTTGTTTTCTTTCTTTGTCTTGCAGGGTTGTCTTCAGGTAAGTTCCTTTTTTCTAATCTTGTCATCCATGTAGCTGAGAGCCGACAGTTGATGCGTGACTGCCTTTTGGGTGCTTTTTTTCTTTTTTGAGTTTGTTTTTTTTATTCCCCTCTAATTTCCACTTCCAATGGGGACAAAGACAGCAATAAAACAATACAAGGATCTTCCTGAACCTTAACAACTTAACCGTATCATTTTGGCTAGATTTTGACTTTTAGGGATATATATATATATATATATATATATATATATATATATATATATATATTATATGTGTATAAAAAAAATTCAGAACTACATTTGTGTTGTGTGAATGGGGCGCAAAATCAAATGTTATTAGAATAATTTCTCTCCGGGTCAAATGTTATACATTTCAGAAAAATAGGGAAGTTTGGGAAAATACTGCATTGTGGCCACTAACAATCCTAGCAATTTATTACAGGTATGTATATAGTGCCGTCAAGTTACGCAGCGCTTTACATATATATTGTACATTCACATTAGTCCCTAACCCTCAAGGGGAGTACAATCTAAGGTCGCTGACCCTCAAGGGGCGTACAATCTAAGGTCCCTAACCCTCAAGGGGCGTACAATCTAAGGTCCCTAACCCTCAAGGGGCGTACAATCTAAGGTCCCTAACCCTCAAGGGGCGTACAATCTAAGGTCCCTAACCCTCAAGGGGCGTACAATCTAAGGTCCCTAAATCACATTCATACATACACATACTAGGGACAATTTAGACAGGAGCCAATTCACCTACCAGTATGTCTTTGGAGAGTGGGAGGAAACCAAAGTACCCAGAGGAAACCCACGCAGGCACAGGGAGAACATGCAAACTCCAGTGGTTTCGTGATTGGGATTCAAATCACTGACCCTAGTACTGGAAGTGCTAACCATTTAGCCACTGTGCTTATTCCATAAGATCCTCAGCGCCACATAGTGGCCATAATGTGGTATTTTCCTGATTTACTCTGATTTTGTGTGGCATCACAGGATGAATAGCTCTGCAAGTTTTCTTTTTTTATAAATACATCTTGGTGTCTTAGGCTTTCTAACCATCTTGATCTATGACCTGTAAGTCAGTGACCTCAGCCTACCACCGAATGTCATCCGATGTGGTGGTGAGACTCCATACAGTCTTTACAACACAGTGGGAGTACGTTGACTATAGGTAGCACAATAGTGACTTGCTTCTAGACCTAATCTTCTCTTTCTTCCATTAAGGTGTCATTGTGGCCATCATGTTTGGAGTTCTCGGAGGGATGCTGCTCATCTCCATAGCTCTGTACTTTATCATCATGGTGATCAAGTAAGGAAATCCATCAGTTGCTTTTCAGATGTCCAGTGCACAGATCAGATAGTTAGTCTTCTCATCTAACATCAGTACCTGGTCTTGCAAATGGTGGCCAACTCCATAAAGACATGGTTTGACCAGTTTAATATAGATGAACCTGAGTGTCCTGCTCAGAGCCTGACCTCAACCTTGCGGACCACCATCGGGATGAACTGGAATGCCAATGGTGAGCCAGGTCTTCTCATCTAACATCAGTACCTGATCTCACAAATGGTGGCCAGCTCCATAAAGACATGGTTTGACCAGTTTAATATAGGTGAACCTGAGTGTCCTGCACAGAGCCTGACCTCAACCTTGCTGACCACCATTTGGATGAACTGGAATGCTGATTGCAAGCCAGGTCTTCTCATCCAACATCATCACAAATGCTTTCTTTGGCTTAAAGGGCACACATTTCCACAAGCACATTCTATAATCTTGTAGAAAGCCTTCCCAGAAGCGTAGAGGCTGTTATAGCCCTAAATGGGAGGCCAACTTCATATCAACGGCCATGGTTTTTGAATGGAACATCAATAAGTTCATATAGATATGATAGTCAGGTGTTCACGTGTATTTTGTCCATATAGTACACCTACTGTTAGTATTTGTCATCTGATGCAACTATATATTTCTTTCGTTACAGGAGACCTATTGCGCACATAGGAAAAGCCTAACAGTGTCTCCTTAAATAACTTTGTGGCTTCCTAATACAGCTGCCATTGGAAACCATTATGCCTTAAGCTGACAATATGGAGGCCTTAAAGATGGCTCCCACTATGCTACTGGTAAACCAAGATTCTGTGACCAGTTTCAATGCTGTGAAGTTCTTCTTGCTGGACCTAAAAACTGATGCGTATAATGCCGATACCATATCGGTTATGGACTTTTACTGCTCTGTACTTGGTAAAGGCCTTATTTATCAAAGTATATGAATGGACAAATGATGATCGTATTAAACCGTTTCATTCTTCCGTATTTCATTGGAAAATGAAGAGGATGATCTGGTGGCTATGGCCAACGGTAAAGTTTCTTTCTTGGGATGATCCTGAGGGCTCTACATTCTTTGATCATTTCTGCTCCAGCCCTGTGACAGCCAGTAGATACCATGGTCACCAATGGTCATATTAAACAGTTTCATTGTCCCGTATTTAAATTGGAAATAGAAGAGGACCATCCGATGGCTATGGCCAACAGTAACTCTTGGAGGACCTACATTCTCTGACCGTTGCCTCTCTAGTCTCGTGATGTTTCCAGCCAATGGCCACCTAGAATGACCATGTTAAACAATTTAATTGTCCTGTATTTGAATAGAAATTTAAGAGGGCCATCTGCCAGCTCTGGCCAACAGTAACATTTCTTCCTTGCGATGATTTTGGAGGCCCTATGTTCTTCGACCACAGCCTCTCCAGTCACGTGACATCTTTAGCCAATGGTCACCTAGAATGATCATATTAAACAATTTAATTGTCCTGTATTTCAATGAAAAATTAAGAGGACCATCTGCCAGCTTTGGCCAACAGTAAAATTTCTTCCTTGGGACGATTTTGGAGGCCCTATGTTCTTCGACCATGCCTATCCAGTCACATGGTGGCCATCTGCCAGCTCTGGCCAACAGTAAAATTTCTTCCTTGGGACGATTTTGGAGGCCCTATGTTCTTCGACCATGCCTATCCAGTCACATGGTGTCTTCAGCCAATAGTCACTCAGAAAAACCAGCCCTTTGCAAAGCTCCTTAGCTTTAAAGTTATTCTAAAAGTTAATTTTTTTTTTTTTTTTGTAAAATAACAAACAGGTCTATATTTACCTGCTGTGTGCAGTGGTTTTTGCACATGGCAACCTGGATCCTTTTCTTCTTGGGTTCGCCACTGGCCCCTCCTTCCTGTTGGGTGCCCCCACAGCAAGCAGCTTGCTATGGGGGCACCCGCTGCTCTGTGTCCATTCACACACGGAGCCGTGGCTTGCCGCCCCCCCCCCCCCGTCATTGGCTGACTGGCTGTGATTGACAGTAGCAGGAGCCTTGTAGTCTCAGCCAACAAGGAGGCAGAGACCCAAGACAGCCGAGCCAGTCATTCACATTGCTGAAGGGTGTGAGGGTGCTTGGGGGCACTACTGCAAACAAGTTTTTTACCTTCATGCATAAATGTAAAAAAAACCTTCATCCTTTACAACCACTTTAAGGCAGATTTCTTTATTCTGGAGCTATTCCCAAGCTGTAGCTGAAGGATGGAGGTTCTCGTAGACATTTCAAAGCAATCTGTTGGTATGCAAAAGGACCTTGAAATGTTCACTTGGAATTTGGAAAGTTTTGAGGACAAAGGCGGAATTCTCGGCTCAACCGTAAATCCATTTTATGTAGACTAGTGCTAACCAGGGATTGATACAAAGGGGGATTGTCATGATAGAAATAATGGAGCTTTCGCTGCTACCTTTGCTCTAGAGCAGGGGTGTCAAACTGGGGGATCTCCATCTGTTGTGAAACTACAAGTCCCATCATGCCTCTGCCTTTGGGAGTCATGCTTGTAACTGTCAATCTTGCAATGCCTCATGGGACTTGTAGTTTGGCAACAGCTGGAGGGCCGCTAATTTGACACCCCTGCTCTAGAAGATGCAATTTCCAGGGGAGTCCTCTTTAGGCTAGGTTGACACCTTTGCGGGTTGCGTTTGAGCCATTTCTGCATTGCGTTTTTTGACACATTTTGCATTTTTTTTTTTTTGTTGCTAGGCAAATTTAAAATGCAAAACGCATAAAAAACGCAATACATGCTTTTCCGCAGCATTTCCATTGAGTTCTATAGAACCAAAAATGCAACTTTTTTTTCATTCAAAAAAAGGGTCCCTGACCCTTTCCAAAAAGCACACCGGGTGAAAACGCACAGATGTGGACATCTCCCATAGGAAGTCATGTGAAATGGACTGGACTGCGTTTCTGCAAAACGCTGCGGAAAACGCATAGGTGTGAACCTAGAGTTAGTCTTCTTTCATTACAAGTCACTGACTTGGAGCATACTTGTATGCAGGTCACTGACTCCGAACATACTTGTATGCAGGTCAGGAGATCTGGCATTTACTGGTCACATGCCTATTGCGGGTCTTAAAAAAAGTGAAGCTACAGGATAAGGATGACAGCTCCGGAATGGGTCTTTTGAAAAATATGTCAATTTATGTATCTCTGGCCTGACAGGTCCCCTTTTCACCGCTGATCGTTAAAGAAATACCTGGTATAAGAATCACATAGATGACCTCTTTTTCAAAAACTTTTGGTTGCTTGGCTGTGTCTTGGTGAATCTCTTGAAATGTGCTCTAAAGCCAAACTCCTGTCAAATTTTTTAGTTTTTAATAGAATATAGAAGAATTAAACATTCTGTCCGGTTTTTATTTTTGCTCTGCTTCACATCTCTACAATACCCTAACACGAAAAGACGATAGAATGGTTATCACCGGGACAGAAAGGCATGGACATCCATGACCCCATTGTCAGGACTTCTAACCCCGTTCCTCACTCTACTACAGATGTGGAGGCCCTAAGCCTTTCTCCCTCTAGGAAATAAAGTTTCGGCTGGAGTTCGGTTTTTTTATTTTTGCTCTGCTTCACGTCTCTACAATACCTGAACACGAAAAGACGATAGAATGGTTATCACCGGGACAGAAAGGCATGGACATCCATGACCCCATTGTCAGGACTTCTAACCCCGTTCCTCACTCTACTACAGATGTGGAGGCCCTAAGCCTTTCTCCCTCTAGGAAATAAAGTTTCGGCTGGAGTTCGGTTTTTATTTTTGCTCTGCTTCACGTCTCTACAATACCTGAACACGAAAAGACGATAGAATGGTTATCACCGGGACAGAAAGGCGTGGACATCCATGACCCCATTGTCAGGACTTCTAACCCCGTTCCTCACTCTACTACAGATGTGGAGGCCCTAAGCCTTTCTCCCTCTAGGAAATAAAGTTTCGGCTGGAGTTCGGTTTTTATTTTTGCTCTGCTTCACGTCTCTACAATACCTGAACACGAAAAGACGATAGAATGGTTATCACCGGGACAGAAAGGCGTGGACATCCATGACCACATTGTCAGGACTTCCTCACTCTACTACAAATCTGGAGGCCCTAAGCCTTTCTCCCTCTAGGAAATAAAGTTTCGGCTGGAGTTCGGATTTAATTCTGGAATCAAAACCTTTTGCCGTTTAGAGCATCTGTATTGCCCCGTAACAACCAATCATAATCTCATGACCATAAGAAAGAACCTGGTTTCAGTGGCAGCAAGTTCAGCTTATCACTTTTGTAGATGACCCCTCTTGGAGTGCCTTACCCATTTATTTTGAGCATTTTAGCCTGAACTTTTAGGAAGAGGTGCCCTTGAAGACGGCACTCCCATTGTTGTAGCCTTGCATTCATTATTCAGTTTATTGCAACTTGTGTACATTTTTTATGTGTTTGCCAAAAGAAAAGTCTTTATTTTTGGAACTACCTCTTACCTTAGGAAAACGTTGCCTATCGGCTGATAGCCCGGGCTGTAGTGGTCAAGTTATGACATTTCTCTGCTCTTCACCAGTCTTCCTTGTAACGTCCATTGCTCCTCCTTGCAAAGCCAGTTAGTCCTTGCTACAATTGTTAAAGGCCCCTTGTACAATCTTCAAAATGCCATTTGTAACGCGGACCCTTAGCCTTTATCTGACCATGAATGAGCGGGTGTCATGTGACAGTAATATCATTAAGGAAGACCTGTACTGACTGACAAAGGTGAACCCATACCACTTGTATGGGACCTAGGAACTAGCTACAGGTGGAGCGGACACTGGCAAACAGAAACATTAAAACCAGCCCCCCAGTGTATACGCTCCTGTTGCCCAGCATGTTTCAGTTTTTTGCTAGTGTCATAGGAGGATGGACTTCCTTTCTCCAGCTCTGCTAAGGAAAGACTATCCAATTTATATTACACTTTCTTGTTTTTTTTTTTGGTGGGTTCTGGTTGATCAGCTTCTCATTGGCTCAGGTTCAACATACTCTTCCTTGTTAAGTCATTCCCAAATTCCATCCTGGTCCAGAGCCTCGGGTAGCTTCTTTGTGCTCTCTCTTGAGTCGTATTGGCAGGTTCCCCTATCTGGTTGAGGGTCCCACCTCATACATTCAAGATTCAGGCACTGGTCTTTCTGGAGGCTCTTGGGCTGCAGGTAGTCCACTCTATCCTCCCACTGAGGTCTTTTAGTGAAGATTTTTTTGCTGAGGTGCCTACGCTTCAGGTGAACTACTCTTAGGCTGCAGGTAGTCCCCCCGACACCCTACTGAGGTCTTTTAGCAGTTATTTTTTTTTCCTGTGGTGCCTACGCCTCAGGTGAACTACTCTTAGGCTGCAGGTAGTCCCCGTCCTCCTGCTGAGGTCTTTTAGCGTTTATTTTTTTTGCTGTGGTGCCTACGCCTCAGGTGAACTACTCTTGAGCTGCAGGTAGTCCCCCCCCCCATACTCCAACTGAGGTCTTTTAGTGATTTTTGTTTTTGCTGAGGTGCCTACACTTCAGGTGAACTACTCTTGGGCTGCAGGTAGTCCCCCTGTCATCCTACCGAGGTCTTTTAGTGATTTTTTTTTTTTTTTTTTGCCGAGGTGCCTACACCTCTGGTGAACTACTCTTAGGCTGCAGATAGTCCCCTCCATCCTCCTACTGAGGTCTTTTAGTGAT